ACTACCACTATTTCTACCACTGCTCCTACTACTATTTCTCCTACTGACCGTACTTCTACTGTGACTATGTCACTGCTAGTTGATTTGTTTTGTACCACTACTGTACTACCCGAGTACTCTACTACTTACTACTATATTACCACTGCGGCCGTATTACCGTACTATTGAAAACCAAGAAAAGCCGTGAGCAAGCATAATCAGCTCATGGATTACATCCATCATTCTTGCTTCAATATCTCCTAGCACACACTTTCATGTTCCACAAAGCCCAGCGCTTCCTCCACTCTCGCCATTGGCTGCTTGGAGCCTCGGATCCTAGGAAAACCTAGTTAAACTAGAAAGGATAGAAGAAGCTAGAAGTAGCAGCAGTAGTAGCAGTGGTAGTGGCCGTAGTAGTAGTAGTAGTAGTAGTAGTAGTAGTAGCAGTAGCAGTAGCAGTAGTAGTAGAAGTAGTAGAAGTAGTAGTAGTAGTAGCAGCAGTATTAGCAGTGGTAGTGGCAGTAGTAGTAGTAGTAGTAGTAGTAGTAGTAGTAGGAGTAGTAGTAGCAGTAGCAGTAGAAGTAGTAGAAGTAGTAGTAGTAGTAGTAGCAGCAGTAGTAGCAGTGGTAGTGGCAGTAGTAGTAGTAGTAGTAGTAGTAGTAGTAGCAGTAGCAGTAGCAGCAGCAATAGCATTCGCAGTCGCAGTCGCAGTAGCAGTAGCAGTAGTGGGGAGTAGGTATGGGAGTAGGAGCACGAGTAGGAGTAGCAGGAATAGTAGGAGTAGTAAGAGCAGTAGGAGTAGTAGTCAGTAGCAGTATTACCAGGTGATAGCAGTAGTAGTCGCTGTCGCTGACGTTGTCGTACATGCTGTTGCTCCACTAGTAGGCGGCCGACTACGTAGCACATGAGCGACTTTCATGCGCCTGAGATGCCAGTGAATAAACGAGTCAACGGTGCGATGTACCAAACAGGTAGGATCAAAGTAACTAGGTGTAGCTCAACGACCATAAGCAACACTTCGCTTATCAACGGCAGATAATGTTTGCGGGCTCCGGTTGCTATAAGACCAGCAGTAGCCTGGGTGCGTCATTTTGGGCATCCAGCAAGGTGATCGTAGTCGTTGGCATCATCGCCGCAGTGCTGGCAGCCGCAGTGACCTGTTTGGAGAGTCTATCTCGGAAAGAGTTTGGTCTCTTAGCTTCATCTTGTTTCTGGCTACGGATAGCCCCGGGGTCCAATTCGATAAAGCTTAAGACTGATTGTGTCTGCTGCAACAAGTAAACCGGACAGCTGCAGGCCCACTCGGCTAGAAGTTCAAGTTGCGCATGGGAGACCACACGCTCTCAGCTTCAACCCATACCGTAAGCGCTTCAACGCATGCAATTTGTGCCATTGCAAATTGAGCTGGCAATTTTGGGCGGCAGCGATAATCACAAAATGTTTGTTGTTCCACGTCGTGCTTGCGAATGTTCTGGATGCGGTGTGGATTTGGGGGGTTGTGGTTCGTGTTGTTGTGGTTGTTGGTGATATTGCCTGGGTGGTTGTTAGTTTTTGGTGGTAGTGGCGACGCTGAGTGAAATCTAAGTATGAAAAAGGGCAGCTTTTTGAGAGGTGCTTGTGGTGGTCATGAGGATGACAAATGCTGTGTGTGGCATCGGTTGTGCTGGTTGTGTTCGTATCTGTTCTGTTAGCGAGGGTGATGATCACTGCATATCACTGCCACGGCGGTGGCTGTGTTGCTGTTGCAGCCCCCGGCCAGATGTCTTGTGGTCAACATGCAGGTCGGAACCAAAAAGCAGCTTTGCCTCAAAAACGGGTGAATCGGCTTCAGTCGTGTGCTTGGGATGTCGGCCGGAGTAGGGGTGCATTGCCGCCAGTATTTCGGCACGGACATCATCCAGGGATTGACAGCCCCGCCGGGGGCCCAGCAAGTCTTGAGCCTTGATTTTTGTCAGTGCCCAAACCCTAAACCCTAAACCCAGGCCTGTAGACCTTGAGCCTTGGACCATCCTTCCTCACCACGTCTAGCTTCGCACAGAGTTATGTAGACTGTCCCAGATCAGGGAAAAACAGCTTGTCTTATGTTACCCTTAGCATCAAAATAGCCCAAAAGCCGTTTATAATAGGGTCTTTGGGCCCAAAAGCCTTAAAATATGAGTCCCTTGATGGCAAGGGTTATGACTTCCACCCCACCAATGACTTCGCTGAAGGAGCTGCAGCAGTTCAAGAACGTTTGTACGGTCGACATAATGATTCCGCCAGTCTAGGAAACGGTTCTTGGAATCAAGGCCGTCGTGGCTTTGGGTCTTCCGGCCCAGCGTGTTGCTTGCATCATGTTTCTGCCAACTATTCTCAAATTGTCCGGTCTTTCACAAAGCCGTTCGCCAGAGGCGTTCGTTGAGCTCTGGAGGAGCTCTGGAGGTGTCTACAAGTTGCAGCTTCCAGAAAGTTAAGCTTCAACCCCACCTATGGCAGATCCGCAACAGACTTCCATAGCCATATTAGAAGTCTCCAGCGTCATGGAGCGCCCATCTCACCCTGGGCGCCGGCACCGGCAAGCATCCTCTTCGCTCATTTTTCCGATCAAGGCTGGTTCTGTGTACTGGTTGACGCATGTTCTGTGGTGTGTTGATTTCCGATGCAAGCCGTGAGGTGTTCCAGGTACAGGAGTGGAGAGTGGCCCCAGAGAGGCATCATTTCAAGTAAGGGATATGGCAACATCCATGGTTTTGTCCGTGTATTGCAGTCCTTCTGAAACTATGATGCCCTGAAAAGCCGGGCCAAGCCCCTACAAGACGTGCTGTCGAGCAATTCAGGACTTGGCATTTTTTGGGGCGGTCCCTTCAATTTGTTTGTTTTTCGCCCGGCGTACTTGTTTGATTTGGTTTTTCCTTTCTACAAATGTACGAGTGATGACCATTGAGTTACTTCCGCTTTGCCACTGCACTGCTATTGTACCACCTGATCAGGCCACAGGCTTGGCAGATGGTGGGGCGGAGTGTAGGATGAAGGAACAAGTCTTCAACACAAAGGGGGCTTAGTTATCTTGGATCGGGGCTTGGTTTCGAGGTTTTGGGGCCCCCTGAAGCCCCCTGAACAGCTTTAGGTACTCTGTACTGTACGACTGCACGACAACTCCGTTACTGCTCTGCTGGTACTGCACTACTGATGTACTACGACTTACTACTGCGCGACTGCAGTATCTCTGTACTACCACTATTTCTGTGCTGCTGATGTACTGCTATTGCACCACTACTCAACTACTGTACTGCTGATGTACTAGAATTGTCCTGAAGAGCGAGCCTATCGTCTTCTACAGGGCCATTCAGGATGCACCAATCCCACACCCTTCTAAAGAGCTTATCTCCCTCATCCCAACCCGCACATTCCATCTAAAGGGCTTATCTCGCTCTGCAGCCCCGAATCTCAACCGGGGGGGGGGGGGGGGGGGGGCTGCGGGAGTTATGCAGGCCGGCGGGAAGTGGTTGGTGCGAGTGGGGGTCCACAAAACAGAGTGCAAGATCAGTCTTTGAAACAGAGAAAATGGAGACGTGCTGTGCTTTGAGCGAACATCTGTTCTAGGTTCGTTTGAGGTAATTACAATATACGCAGCTAAGAAGCTGCTTATGCCGACCGCGTATAAGTCTTGTCGCGCTTGTCATGAAATGCTTCGAAAAGCACCGCTATGGCATGGTTTGGATGAGGATGATTCCAAACTTGCCAGCTTCTTATTCATTGCGGTTTGAAACTGCAACAAGACAGCACGGGTGTTCTTCCTATATCACGAGAATTGTGTCCTGGCGGCGGGCAGCAAATGCAGCTGGGAGCATTTGGAGCTAGCGAGGACATGATCTCAGAAATGGCGGTTCAGAGACAAAGCACAGGTTGACCTGGTGTATTTTTGGTACATTCTCCGTGCCTGACATTATCATTACCTTAAACCAAACATTAAACATTGGCTCAAAAAGGAAGGATGCTCGCACGGACACGCGCGAACTTGTCCTCTGTACCACGCTGACGCAGTGGACGTAGTCCTTCCGTATCAACGAAACACGCGGACATCTGGCAGTCAT